ACTGACCGACCCGGTGTTTGATGTGAATTGAAATACCAACATAACATACCACCATTGACATCAGAAGAAGTGATGCAGACATTAGGTCGTATAAAAGATGGTAAGGCTTCAGGACCGGACGGAGTTCCCAATATGTTATTCAAGTTGCAACGACTGGTACTGTTGCTTGAACCAGGAAAACTGCCTAACCAACCGTCTGCATATAGGCCACTATGTATGTTGGACGCAATAGGGAAGGTTCTCGAACCTTTCAAACTGGTCTGAGATATTACTTTCACTTAAAACTCTGAAAGTACCCGATTATTTGTTAAGCATTATTCGCACTTAATTTTAACAATCGAACACTGCAGTACGACACAGAAAAAGGTAGAAAACAATATAAGGCCACTGGCGGAGTCGCACAAGGATCAGTTCTTGGACCCACATTGTGGAATGCTATGTACGATGGAGTTTTAAAAATAAGACTTCCCGATAAAGCGACAATAGTTGGATACGCTGATGACTTGATCACTTATTAGGTGTACCGATATGAAATGAGCGTTTTTTGGTGAAAAAAAAATACTAATTATTAATAGGAAAGTAAAAAACATTTTATTCAAAGTATTGGCCATTGCTTTCTACACTATTTGACCACCTTTCTGGCAATTTGTGGATACCACGCCAAAAAAATTGTTCGTCTTTTAAAGCAAACCAACCAGACACCCAATTTTCGACCTCCTCGTAGGAATCAAAGTGCTGCTCAGCCAATGAGTGTCCCATCGATGAAAACAAGTGGTAGTCGGAAGGAGCTGGTGTCTGGTGAATACGGCGGGTGGGGTAGCAGCTCCCAGCCATGGAGCAGAATTACGGCATTGTCATGGAGCAGAATTACCTTGCCGTGTCTTCTGGCCCATTCTGGTCGTTTCTCAATCAATGCATGGTTCAAATTTATCATTTGTTGTTCATAGCGACCAGCATTGATGGTTTCACCAGGTTTTAGGAGCTCGTGGTACACCACACCTTTCTGGTCCCACCAAACACACAGCATTGTCTTCTTGCCGAATCGATCTGGTTTTGCAGTCGATGTTGATGGTTGTCCCGGATTAACCCTTGATTTTTTCCATTTAGGATTCTTAAAATAAATCCATTTTTCATCGCCAGTAACAATCCGATGCAAAAAAAACAAATGTTTTTTCGGTTTTCCATCTGTCTTTCATTCAATTCATGTGGCACCCATTTTCCACACTTTTGGATCTTTCCCATAGCTTTTAAACGGTCAGAAATTGTTTGTTGTGCAACATTTAACATTTCTGCCATTTGCTTTTGACCCAAAGTGTCATCTTCATCCAATATCGTTTGCAATTCGGCGTCTTCAAACTTTTTTGGCGGTCTTCCACGTTCTACATTTCTCACATCAAAATCATTATTTCTGAACCGTTGAAACCATCTTTTGTATGTTGCTTCTGATAGAGCATGATCACCATATGCCTCGACAAGCATTCGATGCGACTCTGCACCACTTTTCTTCAAATGAAAACAAAAAATTAATGCTTTCCGCAAATCATCACTTTCTGGTACAAAATTCGACATTTTTAACACGATGAAAAAATATGATGTTGTCTGTTCAATGACTTGATGTATACTAAATATATTTTACGCATGTCATAGCAAACAAACAAAAAAAAATAAAGGCTCTTTCACAACAAATGTTCCTTGTCGGAACATTTGTATCTTCATACCGGTACACCTGGTAGAAGCAAAATGTAATTATGCAGCAGCAAGAGTACAACGATGGCTAAAAATGCAGAACTGGAGTTGGCGGCGCAAAAAACGGGAGCAGTACTGATAACCGCAAGAAAACAAAAAAAAAATGAAAATTATAATTGGCAGGCATGAAATATTATCCCAAGAAGCAATAAAATACCTTGGAGTCATGATCGATGCAATTCTTCCTAATATAAGTGGCCCTCAGGACGAAAGAAGGCGTCTTTTGTCTATGGTCACGGACTTTATTATATTTTATGCCTCTCCTATATGGGCAGAAGCAATAAAGCATCAGATACTTCTGGTAGCACAAGTATACAGACGCAGTGCGTTAGGTGTTGTCTGCACTTAAAGAACAGTCTCTGATAATGCAATCTGCGTCATTGTTGGAAAACTGCCAGTTGACGTGCAAAAGAATTAAGCCGTCTTTATGGCAGGCAAGGCATAACGCCTACGACAGATCAAAAATCTGCTGAACGCGTATATTCATTTAGAGAATGATGGGAACAGTCCTCTAAGGGACGTTGGACCTATACACTCCTTCCCAACATTAAGGAATGGGTATCAAGAAATCATAATGAAGTTGACTATAATCTGACTCAAACATTGAGCGGCCACGGAGGCTTTTTAGAATATCTTTACAGATTTCAACTGTCAGATAGTCCATACTGCCCAAATTGCCACAACGTCGTCGAGAGTGCAGAACATGTAAGCTTTCGCTGCGACCGGTTTAATGAAGAACGGAAAATACTCGTGGAGGCCCTAGGACATCTACCATCTCCTAGCAGCATTGTATATAAAATGTGCTCAAGTAGCTTTAAATGGAAGGCAGTTAAAATTTTCGCAACTCAAACTATGCGGCGTCTACAACTTTACAATAAGGAAAGAAGAACAGTTGCAGTGAAACATCTGCAATGATAATGAATGCATACATACCGTATGAAAATACCAAATCGGTGATCCCGAGAGGGCTAACCGTCGGACACCGGGGTGACTTTAGTGGGTTAAAGTCTCGCACTGACTGTGCGGATGCTTGAAGAAAATTGGTGCAGGTCCGCCGAAAATCAATCAACCGACGCCACGCCAGAAAGCCATAATTAAATATAGAAAACTAACGCCTCGTGTGCAACCTCCAGTCAAAATCATCAACACTACGCCAAAGGTGTTGCCAAATCACCGCACGGAAAAGGGAAAAGCAGACTGGTGGCAGACAAAGGCGAATAATCTAAACGTGACGAATACAAACATTAAAGAACCTAGCAACGTACTCGACCTACCAACATTGGATGCTCCTGTGGTAACTTAGCCGCAAATTTGTATGAAAAATCACATAGCGCCAGCACACCCCAACAATCGCCAAGTCAACGCTAATTTAAATGGATAATACCAAAAAGGATAATATAACGCCTACGACATTTTGATGTCATCGGCTAGCACCATTGTAACTAGGATTATTTAACCAGGATTTTTTCTATGAATCATTGTAACTAGGATATTTTGTAGGATAATAAATTATAATTAGTTATAATTAGAATAAGTTTTGATTTAATAAAATTATTTTTATTGAAATTTGGCTGACCATTTGTTTGGACTGCAAGTGCCAGCCTTAGAACTCGTACCTGTCAAATTAGAACCGATGACTAATCGTGTTCTAAACACGAGTTCTAAGCCTGACACTTGCAGTCCAAACAAATTATATACGGACTATAAACTAATTAAAAATTCGATTATTACCTAAGACCACTGACGAAGGCCAAATTTCAATAAAATTAAATAAATTTTTGTGTTTGTTCTTTCTTTCTTTCTTTCTTTCTTTGCTAAATTTGAATATACGAAGTCCGTGTCGTTACAAAAATCACTAAATCACAATGCGACTCAGTGTTATATTTCGATTAACTATCATATTATATACATAAATTGAGAAAATACGTAAAATTTTATATAATTGACTGCTAATTGCCCAAAAATAAATTCAAATGATTTCAACTTTGCAATCATAAGGAAAATAAAGTGAGTTAAGATTGCATTCAAAAATGTTTATCAAAGGAATGTGACTACAACGGATTTCAATCAAAATTATTCAAAAAATAATATTTATTCAAATTGAACTAAATTAAAATTTAACATTTCAAAATAAATCAAAAACAACATAATTAGTTAGAAGAATTTTGATTAGCTAATTTACAAAACCGACGGCCTTACAAAATAACCAACAAAGAAGTTTTAATGAAACGAGAAAAGTGGTTGATTTATAAAAATATATCATTTATTTATATGCATTCATATTATAATAAAAATTGTTTTTAAATCCAAATATATTACTCATTTTTCATTCACATTATATGATATTCATATATATAAAGTATTTTTGTTTTTTAATATAAAAAACAAATATTTTAACTTTCTTTTTTATATATTTACTATGACACATATAAAAATATATATTCAATTAATTTAAATTATTTATATATAAGAAAATTAAATCTATTTTGATTTTCATATAGATTTTATAATAAATTATATTGTAAATTTTTTTTTTGTATCTCCAACGTCATTATTTAAACAGATATTTTAACAGAAAATATGCTAAGTACATAAAATTTATTCTGCATGACAGTTTTTAATTATGGTAATGAAATATAGAGAGCGGCTTATTAAAATAAAGTTTTAGCCATACTTTTGTTTCAAAATCACTTATATACATATTCTAGCATATAAATATATTAATTTTTAGCAAACTAAGTATTAATATTTTGTTTTATTTTTATTACTATATTGTTATTTTTTATTGTTTCAAATTGTACATAGACTCCCTGAAGATCAATTGAACATTTTTACATATTTGTTTTATTATTTATTTTTTTCCTGCAAAAATAGTTTCATATTTTGTGTAAATACTTTGTTGTTATTTCGACAAATATTTGAGGTACAATGTACATTAACACTTAAATTCATTCAGTTTGTTTATGATTCAAATTAACTGTTTATAAAGTTTTTTTATTTATTTAAAGAATATCAAATTCTATGTTCCAAAATTCAAAAAATTTAAATGATAAATGTTTAGTTTACTAAAACACTCTCAGATCTGTTGTGATAAAACTATTTTAACATTATTTCGTAAGCGGATTAAAAAAACCGTAAAAAGAAATATAGTATTAAAATCGCTTTTTGTAGCAATAACTTAAATAATATAATAATATATATAAATAACTATAAATTAAAACTATAACTAATTTACTTAACTAAAAAATGCGGTATTAGAATTTATTTCTATATTTTATTCATTTCATTAACAACTTAGTCCGTATACAATATATAGGAAGAATTTGAATCATTCATTTCAACCTTCACAAAATTTTGAGTACCCATTTGTAAAGGACTGTTAGAATCGTTATTGGAATTATGACGACCACTAGAGCTGCGTCTGGAAATAATAGAAAAAATACAAAATAAATATATATTACATTTATAAAAATCATAATATGATTAATTGTTCGCAAACATTCGGCCGCTTTACGAGTATAACATTTCATTCTAGTATACACTAGTTAAGTTTATTTACTGTTCTAATAAAATATTACAAAAACCGAACATTTAAATAAGAAATCAATGAAAGCACCTTATAAGATAGAAATTTCCAATACTATCTTATATAAAATCCTTTTTTATAAAAGTGTGCTTAAGCTAGTAGTGGACCTAAAGTGTAGAAAATTAAAATTTTACAAAAAATTTAGTCTAAAACTCTACGAGAAATGATCAACACTTCTTGGTAAATAGATAATGCTCACATTATAGTGGATATTATTTTACGAAAATTGAATTTAAGAAATAAATTACATTTTTATTTTTATGATTAAAGTAAATTTAGAAGCAACGCTATATACTTAAGGTATTGGAAAAATTAGCTAAACATGTAGAAAGCAGATTCCGGCTAAAGCGAAAATAAAGGTATTATATAGTTTAATGGTAAATTACTTCTCGATGTAACTATGCGAAAGACAGCTTTTCAATAATAGTGACTACCGATGGATATACCCAACTTCTTGGTGTTCTAGCATTATCTTCAACTACTGGAAAAGCAATAGGTGACGCTGTGTTCAACATACTCTTGATTTATTATAGTTCCGCTTTTGCTTCTTGTCTTGTTATTGTGGGAGTAACGTTTTTTTTATAAATTGCAATGTTTGATCTTATAATCAGAGGTTATGTAGAAGATTGTACAGTATGTGCTGCAGTTTTGCAGTACAAAGAACGCTTCTTTTGGTTGTTTCTAATACCCCGTGGACTCTTAAGGATATTGGAGTTAGTCGTTTTGGAATCATTGAAGCTTGATAGTCTTCTAACGTAGGCGAGTCAGAGATTCACATCTCTGTGAATGAGTGAACGTATCTAAAGGTGTATTATAAAAAATTTCGCTATTTGATTGTCAAATACAGTTATCAATAGATATCAGTATTTAGTTTTAGTGGTTAAGCTTCTGTACGTTAACTTTATATTATGCAATGCAATTTCTTATTTCGCTCTCCAATTTACTATTTCGTTAAAGCACTTCGGAGATATAGAGTTAACTCTCATTATGTATTTTCTACCACAAAAATTGCGTCATCTGCAAATTTAGTTATATGTATATGTATTCTATATGCAGGTGACAGTATATTGAAAGAGTAGACTAGAAAAAATGAAGTTTAACGTGCAACTTCATTTCTTCTAGTCTATTTTGGCAAACAGCAAATCTTGCATATCTGCGCATAATGCAAGCAAATCACATTTTGTATAGAAATAAATAATTAATATAAATTGAAAATTAAAATGAATACAGAATTAAAAGAAATCATAAGAATATTGAAATTTCTTCTTTTTTTCCCAATTTTCAATTTATGAAATTTTTAAATTTTGTTTAAATTTTTGTTTACATATGACTTTTGACATATGATTGCAGTATTCGTTAGAATTTCCAATGAAGGTTCACAATAGTTCGCTTATTACGTTGATAACACTGTTCTTTGCTGGCCAAAGTATTTGGCCAGTAAACAACTATTGGCTTAGATAGGGAAAATAATGTTGTTGTATTGCGTACATGTCAGCCAGTATAGGCCAGCAACTTGCTGTTTTGCCGCACTTGCGAGCCACCGAAAACGCCTATTATTAAACTATTGTGTTTGTGTATTTATCATCTGATATCATTTTATTTAGATATAAAATTGTTTATTGGCTAGCAGACAAACCATATGAAAAAGCTTTTAGTTAAAAACTTCCAGCATATATTTCTTTCTATTTTTTAAAACTTTATCAGTGCTTAATTTTTGTAAAAAAGCAAAAAATTTTGGTTTATAATTAACTTATTACAATTTTTTAAAACAAAACATTTACAAATGTTCACAAAAATCAACATATGTATAAAAATAGGCCAATTTATCACAGTAAACATTAAATATAATATTAATTATTTTAAAAATTTTAAAAACATTATTTTTTTATTTTAAAACAACCGCTTAGACGGAGTATTGTCACAATAATAGGTTAGTATATATTATAGATAGGTTACAATAGATTATTGTGACATTACTCCGTTTTAGCGGTTGTTTTAACATAAAAAAATAATGTTTAAATTTTTAAAATAATTAATATTACTCAGTTATGTCTAATTTACATTATTTGGTCTTGTTGTTGTTGTAACTAAAAGGATTACAAGACGAATACATGGGATAAGGAATGGAAAAGGTGGGAGTGAGTGTTGGGATTTGGTCTTAAATGCATTCGGCTTATAAATTGATTATATAATCGACAAAGACTAGCAATTGAAAATGAAATAATCACAAAAAAAAAAATTTTTTTGATTACTCTAAAATTACTCTAAAAAATATAATAAGTTAAAAAAGAAAAATAAATGAAATTCCATGAAATTTTCAAGTGAAATACTGCATTATTTTATTAAAGTCTTTCTCCGCTGTCACATCTATAAAATATAGGTATATAAAAGCCAGGAATTTATGTCAAAATTTCAAAGTTATATTTTAAAAATAAAAATGTTGAATAAAAAATACAAGCTGTCTACTTGGGCTTGTCTTTTAAAATTTTTGAAAAATTAAATATATTAGAAATATTTAATAGTAATCAACGTCTGACGTTGTAATCAAACTAACCGGTGTGAACATGAAATAATTAAAAAAAAAACCGTACAAGAAATGAAATTAAAATAAATGTTTTCAATCTCATTTTTTTAATGAGATTTTTAATCTTATTAGAAACGAATTTAAACAAATGAAAAATGTATAGATAAAAACTTACTTGGCTTTTGCGTGAGTCAAAATATGGGACTTTAAATTCGTTGATTGAGCAAATTTTTTGTTGCAGCCATCAAACGGACATACATATGGTCTATCTCCTGTGTGAATTCGCACATGTGTTCTTTTGGTTAAAAATATTTAAAATTATTATTTTTGTATATATGACTGTATAAAACATTACCTTAAATTAAAGTCCAGAGAAAATCTTTTGCCACAACCTTCGAATGTACACTGAAAAGGTTTCTCCCCAGTGTGCACAAGTTGATGTCTTTTAAGCTTTGAACTCTCTACAAAAGCTTTACCGCATTCAGCACAAACGTGTACACGAGGACCATGAGTATGCAGATGTTTTCGCATAGCCGAGTTATCACGAAAATATTTATTACAATCTTTATGCGGACATGCAATTTTTTTGTCAGTTACTAGCGAATTTTCAGTATTGATATGATTGCTACTGTATGTCAAAGGTGGAGGTGAAGATGATAAAGACGAATTAAAGTTATTACCAGGTTGTACACTGACAGTTCGAACAGATACTCCTTCTTGTACCGAAAATACGGTATTTGCAGAGGTAGAAGGTGTTATCATTGGTTGTGAAATAGGAAAACATTTTTCTCTATTGTCACTATCATTTTTTCTCATTTTTAGTTTATCACTGTTCGAATTTCGGGCGAATTCAGAAAGCTGTTTTGGATCTGACAAATCTAAATCTGGTAAAGTAGTATTAGATATGGAAGATAAATTTGTACATTTATTTATATTTTCTTGAGCTAGCATTTGTTGCTGTTTTTGTTGTTGTAATATTAACTGTTGTTGTAAAGATTGTTGTTTTTGAAAAATTTCATTTTCCGCACAATTGTTTTTAATCGATATAATTCCATTAACTCTTTGGTCCAGATTACTTGTGTTTGTTAACATTTTTTCATATTCATTATTTATTTCTATATTTGGTTCATCTTCGTCATCAGATGTACCTGATGTCCACATAGTAACACTAAATTCGCCTTCCATTGTTTTTATTTGTACAAGTTTTTGTTCCCATCGGCGTGGCTTAACAGTGTTTAAATCATCTTGTACATAAAGTTGACAACTTTTGTGTTGGCGTTGTCGATGCAAACGTGAGTTATGTTGTTTATAATTATTAGTAATGTGGGAGTTTGAAGGTATAGAATTGATCATATTTGACATATTTGAATCGGTTAGATTTGAAGGTATAGTTAAAGCTGATGTACTGCCTTTTGACACTATTTTAATTTTTCTAAAATTTAAATTCAAAATAAAGAACAAAGCATATAGAGACATTTAAATTTTTAGTTTAAATTAATTGATTTTTTATATTAGTTTTGTGCAGAATGTTAAGAGTGAAATTTAAATCCAAAAATATATAATGACCCAAAACACAATAGATTAACCGCAACTCCAAGCGTTATTAATTTGTGGAGCACGAGGGACTACTATTTAACCATGAAAAGTTTAATTTCAGATTGCAATTTATATTTAAACTACTAAACCGAACGATGGTAAATAAGAATGATAGTAGAGAAGATTGCATAATTCGGCATTATATATATTAGTAACGTCGACCTTGTATTTTATTGCGCGTTTTATAGTTGTCATGTGATCTATTGATCCACACAACTAAAATCAAAACGCAACAAAAAAACCAATAAATTCCTTAAAAATTTATGCGTGTGTGCATTTGCTTTGCTGTAGAAACATTTAATTTATTGAAACAAGTAAAAAGATTCAACTAATATGTATACATTCAAGCCAATAATAGGCGGAGACTTCAATGCCAAAAACATTAACTGATGCTGTCGGTTAACAACATAAGCACATAACTATATAAAGCAGCACGTGAAACAGATAGTGTTCATTTTGACACCCAATCCAACTTTTTGGTCAATGAATATCAACAAAATTCCAGACCTGATTGCTTTTTATATCATAAAAAACTTTCAATGAGCTATGGTTAAATAAATTTTGCTTTTAATCTCAACTCAGAACATTGTTCGATATATCTGATCTGAAATGAAGCAATGATCTATATTTCCTACACACAAAAAGAGAATACTGTTACCGAGCAGCATGGTTACCACATTTGCCGATTACACAGCCGAATGTGC